AACAGGAAGAAAAGATCAACATTAAACAGATACACTAGGTGGGAGGGAAAGGGAGAGAAAAGGGAAATTGCATGGTAATGGAGGGAGACCCTCATTGTTATACAAAATCACACATAAAAGGTTGCAAGGGGAACGGGTAAATAAACAAGGAGAGAAATGAAATACAGTAGATGGAGTAGAGAGAGAAGATGGGAGGGGAGGGGAGGGGGATAGTAGAGGATAGGAAAGGTAGCAGAATACAACTGTTACTAATAGGGCATTATGTAAAAATGTGGATGTGTAACATGTGATTCTGCAATCTGTATTTGGGGTAAAAATGTGAGTTCATAACCAACTTGAATCTAATGTATGAAACATGATATGTCAAGAGCTTTGTAATGTTTTGAACAACCAATAGAACAAATTAAAAAAAATAAAAAATGAATAAATTGCAGCCTGGTTCATTGGTGGCTCTCCCAATTCTAAAGGCAGCAAATTCCCCATTTACATTAAATATGAAGCTATTCAAAGATGAAGGAGGGAGAACTAACATAAATGATAACTGACATGGGTCTTGACTCCATAGTTTTTGGTTCTGACAAGCTGTGGCCATCCACTGAAGTCAGTACCTATGGGCATGAAGAGCCAAACTCATTCATGAGGATGTAAATGGGATGGGAAAGATGTGTAAGCTGGATAACTTTATCTATCAAGGATGATTTCTTCCACCTTCCTCAGGGGATCTCATTGGGGTATTTTAATCAAAGCCCTTTCAGAGGAGGATTGGACAGAAGTAATAATTATAGATATCTCTTTCAATAAGTGTTCTCCAAAGGGGGGGTGGGGCAGAGAAATGAGAGCCATGCATGGAGAGAGACTGGACTCCAGGGAGATTTTTTAAAAGATGGCCTGTCGGGGACATATTTGTGCAGGGGTAGGATGACCAAAGACAGAGGGAGAAATGGATGATGCAGGAGAGAGGAGATGAGAGGAAATGGGATACCCCGACAGGCGCAGGAGCTCATCAACTATCAATGGGAGAGAAGGCAGTTTAAGTACAGGTGAAGGAAGTGGAACTTGCTACTGAATTAGACCCTTCTTGGCATTAGTCCATGGAACTGCTACTGAATTAGACCCTTCTTGGCATTGTTTTTCACCCTCTCTGCTCATCTCTTATTCTAACCATATTTCATATTTGTTCCTACCAGCATTGCATGGATGCGATCTGACAGATACCCAGTTATATCTCTTGTTTCAGCCCCACCAATCCTCTAACTTTATGATTTTATCCAGCTGGAAATATGCTTGATAATTATGCAAATTAAGCCTAGAAAATCCAAGAAGTTAATTATCACAAGGCTACCCTTGACCTACGGAACAGATTCTGGGATAAAATGAAACCAATGAGCAACTGCTTTCCCCATTTATCTTTCACAGTGATGATTCAGCAGTACTTTGGAGAAGGTTCTTCAGAAGTTTCCAGGAGGACTGAGCACAATCCCCACAATAGTGGCCCACTCAATAATGCATCCTTATGTTGATTTTTCTTCCTTTCTTGTTTCAGCTCCCTGGGATCATATTCCCAAGTCAAGTGACTGCACACAAACATCTATCTAGGCTCTGCTCTTGGAGAAATATAGGCTGTGTTAGTGCCCTGTCTGATCACACTCTGGCTCAATTTTTTACTCTCATTTTATGCTACCTCAATAAGACCCGCCAACCTGGCTTTCTTAGAGAGCCAACTTTACCCTCACTTCAGGAACTTTGAACATTCCTTGAACACATGAGCCGCACTCTTCCTGCAGTACCTCATTCTGGTCCCTGCTTATGTGACACCCTCATAAAAAGTCCTTACTGGTCACCCAATATGAGTATCTGTCACTCCCAGGAGAAGGTACTATCTACCTCATTTCTGTTTTTATTTTCAAGAGTACCTACCATTCTTATAAGGTGTTCAGTCAGCTATTTTACTCTGTGACTAAATGGACCCAACCTGAACAAATGTAGAGGAGGAAAAGGTTTATTTGAGGGCTCACAGTTTCAGAGGTCTTTGTCTAGACAACAGTAGCTCCATTCCTCAGGGCTCTAGGTGAGGCTGAACATCACGGTAGGAGAGTACAGCAGAGAGAACAGCTTACATCATGACCAGAAAGCAGAGAGAGAAGCTCTACTCACCAGATACAAATATATACCCCAATCACACCCCGATTCCCACCTCCTCCAGCCACACCCTACCACACTCCAGTTACCACTCAGGTAAACCCTATCAGGGGATTAAATCTCTGATTGAGTTAAGACTCTTAGAACCCAATCATATCTCCTCTGAACCTTCTTTCATTGTCTCACATGTGAGCTTCTGGGGAACACCTCACATCCAAACCCTAACATAAGGGCTCTTATTCCTCATTGTTTGCCTTGTGCATCATCTGTGGTGATGGGACTAAGCCCTGGGGCCTGCCTTCCTGGGCTCCAATGGAGGCATGGGTGCAGACCTGCCATCTAATAACATGTCTCCTCTAGCCGGAGGCCAGGCAGGTAACAGGGATGTTTCAAATGGGCCCCAAATCAGGTAATAAATGGCCTCAAGTTCTGGAAGACAATGGGAATTGCCAGGAACTATGGAGAAGCTATAAAACTGAAGCTCTCTCTAGAGAGGGGCCTCCACACAGTTCGTTGTTGCTATCTGACCATGTGGCCACTACTGTCTGACTTTCCGGTTTTTCAACATAGACCAGAAATCTGACTTGTGTGTGATACACTTCCACAGTTAAAATATTGGAGGACAATTCCAATTTTCAACCCTTTATGGGCCAAAGAAATCATGACTATATGAGGCAGATTTGGCCTGTAGATCTCTGCTGGTTGCACTCCACCTGAACTCTTGTGAGATCGGGGCTCAATTCAGCCTGTCTTGCTTGCCTGGCCATTCCACACTCACATCCATGGAAGGCAATGAGAGCTTGATGTTCCAAATGTGGATGTTGCTTTGCCAGAGTTGGAAACAGACACCTGCCAACAGAGAAACACAGTATGGGCAGAACACAAGATAAGAAGGGTGGCTGTCAGGGTGTGAAAGGGAAGGAAATCTGACTAACTTTCCACTGTTTGTAAATACATAAATCCAAGATGCCAAAGAAGTAGAATATGTGGCCTTTAGATAAGGTACCATAAACCTGTCTTGGATAATTAACCTTTTTAAGAAGCAAGCATGTTCGGCACTTAATATCTGAAAAGGTGTAATGTAGCAAGAATGAGCTATAAATAAAAGAGATGGAAAGTGCAGTTGCGTTTTCCCAATTCGTTATGGTGGGTTGTAGCTAATTAATTCATAATGCCTCTGAATTGATACTGCGTCATTTGTGTTCATGCAAATTACCTCTTAACTCATGTTAAAAGACAAACATATTGAGCAAGTTGAACTTTCAAAAAAGCAAACATTCACAGAAGACAAAATAATAACAGGTTGTGGTTGGTTATTCATGCTGCCATAGATAAGATTATTATGTCTACATTTCCATTTTCAGCTCTTATTTTCCATAAATGATAACTTGGTCATAAAAAATAAAATTCCACTGAGCTCTAAGTTAACGCTAACATGTTATCTGAGAATGGGTTATTTTTTCCCCTTCATGTTTTAAAATAGGTTTCCTTAACAGGCAAACAGATTACAATTTCTCCAAGTTTAGTGGACTGCAAATTGTTGCAACTAATCTTAAAAGCAGTTTGGAGATTCCGTGGAAAACTTGTAATGGAAGCACCATTTGATCCAGCTATCCCACTCCTCAGTCTATACTCAAAGGACTTAAGAACAGCATACTACAGGGACACAGCCACATCAATGTTTATAGCAGCACAATTCACTATAGCTAACTAACCTATATACCCTTAAATAGATGAATGAATAAGGAAACTGGTATATTTACACAATGAAATATTACTCTGTATTAAAAGAGAATAAAATCATGGCATTTGCAGGTAAATGGAGAGAGTTGAAGAATATCATGCTAAGTGAAGTAAGCCAATCCCCCCAAAATAAATAGTAAATGTTTTCTCTGATATGTGGATGCTGATCCATAATGGGGTAGGGATAAGGGAGCATGGGGGGAATGGAGAAAATGTGGATGGGGCAAAGGGGAGGGAGGGGAAGGGAGGGGAAATGGGGGTAGGAAAGATGGTGAAATGAGATGGACATCATTACCCTAAGTATGTGTGTGAAAACACGAATGATGTGACTCTACTTTGTGTATTACCAGAGAAATGAAAAATTGTGGTCTATTTGTGTACTATAAATTGAAATGCATTCTGCTGTCATGTATAACAAATCAGAATAAATAAATAAATTTTTAAAAAATGACATTTATCATCTGGGTGGGTAGACCACTTCCAGAGGCAGTGAAAAACTGGTTGTTCCACATCAGGGTGATCCTGGGCCCACTACCTACTGGAGCGGGGTAGGGGTCTTCTCACTGTTAATTACCTCCTATTGCTTTTAATTGCCCAATAATCTGAGACATTTCTGTATGGAAGTAGTGCTCTTCTGCCTTCCCTTTCCTTCCCTAATGCTCAAGAGACATTTATTCATTTATTTATCCCCTCACTCAACACTTATGACTGAGCACATACATGTGACAAGCTGTGTGCTATTGTGGGGACACAGTAGTGGACTGATATGGAAAAACTGAGAACTTCACTGGAGCTCCTTATGTTCAAACACAATCGGGTTTTATATTTTTTTATTTTTATTTAATTTGTGAAGATGGGCAGGAATTCCTGTTTAGTTTCTTTAAAAGTGCTAATCTGACTACAGCAGACACTGAATTGCTCCCAATAGTGAACAAAAGAGACTATGAGTGTGTAGGAAAGGAAATAAGTATCAATGATGCAAGCAAATACAAAAAAAAAATGGCATAAATGACAAGGGGTGTGAAGGGCAAGAAGACCCAGTTTAAACTAAATATTAATAGAAGTTTCCAGTGGAAGGTGGGATTTAACCTGGGAAACATGACGAAAGGAACCCAATTGTGTGAAGGCCTAGGCAATAGAGTGTGCCAGGTAGAGGAATAGCTGGAGGAAAGGCCCTGAGGCTGGAATGAGTTTGGCATCTAAGAGAACAGGATGTGCCCTGGAATTCTGCAGCACCATAAGCAAGTGGGGAAGAATAGGAGTCAAGGAGGTGGGCTGGGCAAAGTGGCTAGAATCCCCACTCACTTTTCTTTGAACTCTAAGTCCTTATCTACAGATGGATTCCTTTCTTATGCTGTTAAAGTAGAAACAGGTCAGGCACAGTGGGCATATGCCTTTAATCCCAGTGGCTCTAGAGGCTGATGCAGGGGGCTTGCAAGTTCAAAGTCAGCTTTAGCAACTTAGCAAGGACCTAAGCAACTTTGTGACACCCTGTCTCAAAAAACAAACAAACAAACAAACAAACAAATAAAAATCCTAAATAAGAAAAAATGGGGGGTTGGGGATGTGGCTCAGAGGTTAAGTGCCCCTGGGTTCAATCCCTGGCACCCCCCAAAATATAATAAAATAAAGTAGAAACAGTTGAGATTTGCTTCTTACCATCTTCCAAATGAAGACAGATTTACTTATTTATATTTTCATTGCAAAAATATTAATATAAACTCAATGTAAGAATCATTGGATGTTTAAAAATGTAAAAGAGAAAGTAAAAAAATAATTCTACTATTCAAAGATAATCATTGTTAACATATGATGTGCATTTCCTAGACTTCTTTGTTTGTAAAGACAGACATTTACAGACATGCATATAAATACCTTTAACAAGAACTTGATCATATACATTCTGACTTATAAGCTGCCTTTTATTTAACATATTGAGTATCATTTACTATGTCCTTAAACACAGATCTATGTTATAGCTTTAAATGATGGCAAAGACATTTTATGAATATACTCTAATCTCACCCAGCATAGTAGTAGTAACTCTAGGGACAATTTTTCACTATTAATAAACATAACTGTGATGAACATCTTGCACTTGTCTGATGGTTTATGTTTGAACACCTTCCTAAAATTGGGGTGGGGTTCTGAGTGGATTGCACAGCCTCATCTGTGGGAGATATGAGAAGTCTGGGACCATGGAAAATCTGAGGGTCCTAGGAGGACCTAGTCAGAAAGCAGATCTTACTCCCCAGGTGAGAAGAGTTCTAAGGCCCAATCTGCTGTCTCCAGGTTCCATGAACCCTTGGCTGAAGTCAAGGGCTCCTGTGGCCTCTGCCTTTCTGTGTCACCAGCAAGTCAGATCATATTCTCTTATATCTGGGTTGCTAGAAAGATGATGGTATCTGTTAGGATATTTGGCCTCATTATGAGACAAGTACAGGAGAAAAGGATTGGGGATGGACAATCCCAGATGGTATTAACTTAGAAGACAGGCAAGACTTGACCTTTGGAAACTTCAGCTATTTACTTGTTGTTCCCTGGAAGAGATCTACCTAGAGTGTCTGACTGCTCCAGGTCAAACCAGGTGAATGTCTCCGAGTGAAACAAATGCCTCTCTCCACAGAAGTATCTGCCTGGTGCTTAAGTGCCAGGCATTCCTACTCTGCCTGGATCAGTGGTACTGTCCCCACTTCTGCTTTCTCTTCTGTGCCCATGTGATCAGTCTTGCATTGCCTCTCTCCCTGTCCCACCCCAGTGCACCTCAGGGCTCTCTCCTCCCCAGGTGTCAAGTTCTGTCTCCAATCAGAGGACCCTACTCTATCTCCAGAACCCCAGAGGCTCCATAAGCACTTGCTGACCTCTCTTCAACCAGCACACATTTCCTGGGCTCATCTGTGGCATAAAGTGCCATTACAAATTGAAGGGAGGGAATTCGGTCTTTCTTATACAATTGTGGACAGAGTGATGCTTCTCTAAGCAGGAAACAAAAAATTATAAGACTCCGCACCCTACAAAACTGATTTAGTGGAGACAATACAGAGGAGAATGTAGGGTGGCGTACTGGAACTTAAATGAGGGCACTGACCTACATCCTATGGGAACTAAGAGGATGGAGAGTGGTAATAATATTAACCAGTGCACAATCACAAGTCATTATTTCCTTCCCATAACAATGCCCAGGAAATATTAAGGGAAGTTAAATTAAACTACCAGTTGTAGTTGGATGCTGTCAAGTGCGCATTCTCTTTTCCTTGCCCATGCTACACACATTTTATAAGCCCCCTTTTGCACATGAGAAAACTGAGCAAGGAGATAAGAAATGAGGGGCAGTGACTGGTCACCTTCTCAGGTTGGTCTTCAGTTGCCTGGAGGGAAACTGAGGGAGCTTCTGCTGGACCAAGATCCAGAAATGAATCAGGGGAGAATGGCAGTGGGTGCTTCAGGTAAGTACCAGCAAAGGTCCTGCAGCTGGGGAGAGGGGATGGGACAGCTTAGGCTTTGTGTGTAGAGCCAGCCCATCTAAGCTCTAGCCTTGCCTCTTTCATCATCCCTGTCCCTTCCAGCTCTAGCATTAATAGGAAAAATCATCAGTTATTCAGACTCAAATTTGACAAACTTAATTGCAAAGAATTAAATAAGTTGTAGATCAATACTCTCTGAATGATCAATTAATCATTCTCTGTAATTAAAACTACCAATTCCTAATACCTTTCAGTTATATTTTATTGCACAATTTCTAATTCAGAGCTTTTAGGCAATTGTATTGATTGCAAGTATACTTACCATATCTGGTAATCAAATAATTTATCAGCCAGCACAACTTGTTATAGGATATCTGGTTTAATTACTATCACCTTGTCTCAGAAGGCAGGTTTAATTCTGCTTGGGCTTGTTTCAAGACACAGCAGGTTTGACATTATAATTCTGTTGTGTGGGTTCTACATGCCACACAAAGTTCCTTCTTTTGTGAAAGAGAATTGTAAGATGAGTGTACTTACTAAGCAGGTAAATGGATGAGCTCAAGTGGTTCCTCAAAATTATGTTTAAACTTTAATCTTTTTCATGGAGGGTTTGCAACTTAATTTATTCCCAATATGCTTAGAAAAGTGCTCTCAGGATTCATGGATGAAAGGCCTTTAGATGTACAAATGGATACTGCCTTCATTATTACCTTGAAATACAAATTAAATACCAAGAACATCACAATCTGCTTCACTGTGTCCATCAATTTTGAAAAAAGTACAAATAACATTTATTTAACCTATGAGTTTATTATTCCGGCAGCAATGCTGGACAACTGGTAGTTTAATTTAACTTCCCTTAATGTTTCCTGGGCATTGTTATGGGAAGGAAATAATGACTTGTATTTGTCCTGCACAGCCCTGGGTGGGCCTGGGCCTTCTTCCTGATCTCTCACTCATATTCAAGGTCCCCAGAGCAAAGGTTTGAATGTGGTTTTCCCTCCAAAATCCATATTATGGCTTCATTCCCCAATGTAACCATATGAGGTGACAAGGCCTGTGGGAGGGGTGATTAAGTCATTTAGAGGGACTGGTGCTCTCCTTGCCATAGTGCCTTTTTCTCTTGGGTCTAGATTGGTATTCATGAAGCAGGTTGTTATAACTAAGTATAGCATCTCCCTTGAATGCCTCTAGTGCATGTACTGCTGGCCTCTCACATGCTCCTTCTAAGTAATGCCAACTGCCATCTTATGTTGTGGCAGAAATCCCTCTCCAGATGAGGATGCCTGAATTTAAGACTTTCAGCCTCCAAAAGTATGAGCTAAACAAACCTCTTTATTGTATAAGTTACCCAATCTCAAGTATTTTGTTAAAGTAACACAAAACGGGCTAAAACAGTAACAATGCCTGGGGACATCTTGGAGAGTCAGGGAGGCTGGTCCTTCCAGGGAGAAGGGGAATCTGCGGGGATTCTCTCTGCCAAGATGATAACTGGGCATCAGAGACTCTGGATCTCAGTTTTTCCTGAAGAATGGGAAAAGCTTCTAGAGGTTTTGGGTTGAGTTTAAACGGAAGGGATCCAGAATTTCATGCTTGGAAACAATATGACTGAAGGTTCAAAGTTAGGAAATCCTGGGCAGGGTGGAGAGGGAGTCAGGAGCGGGGAGGCCCTGTTACGTTAACATCTTCTTTGCCCTCTACAGGCTGCTCAGGTCTATCAGAGGCATGTCCCTTCAGCTTATTCCCCTCCCTCATACTCCCTTCCACCTTGAAAATGCCCAGTTCTCCATCAAACAGCTCATACCAGACCCGTCTCTCTCAGGCTATTCCCATCTGTGCAGGGCATGGGAAGGAAATCCCTAACACTATACAGAAATGATGGCTGTTTGGAGAACAGAGAGGATCATGTTTCAAGTGCCTCCATTCAACAACATGTCACTCACCTTCCATTCTTCCAAGGACTTCTCACAGAGTCCTCATGGAGCTCAAAGCAAGCAGACAAGCAACGGGACAGCACCCTCCCTAGTGCTCCTTCCCTGCCTCTCATTTCCAGAGACAGAAAGCCAGGCCTAGGGCAGTGTGCAGACTATGAGTACCTCCAGCTCAAAGCCTGAGTTCCCAGCCTGTCGCCAGGGCTGGCACATGGCAAGTGCAGAACACTCAACATTCGCTCGATGACTAGATCCATGCATACTTTTCCTGAGGTACAAACTTACCTACCTAGAGAGGGGAAATGTGGTTGAAGTAGGTGATCCCTGAGTTCATAAGGGCAATAATGCCCTCTCCCACCAGCCCAGTACTCTCCTCCCCTCATCCTGTTTTCTTTTCTCCATAGACTGTATTACCATATGACATTCTTATTTGTTATCTATTTTGCTGCCCTAGAATGCAAGGTCCTCATGGCCAGACACATTTAGCCACACTGTACTTAACTGCTCCATCTCTAAGCAATGGGCAAACAACATGGCATATGGTAAAGACAAAAGTCTTTCAAGTGAAAGAATGAATCCTCAAGTGAGGAAACTGAGGCTCAGAGGGCTTGGGTTACTTGCCCAAAGGACTCAAGCAAGTGGAGGAGTTGGGATTAAATGGAGGCAGCCTAACTCTGGAATACAGGCTTTTAGCAAGTATTCTATACAAACGAGTTCAATTAACTCGACGATTCTTTCAGGGGGCATATAATATAATCCAGGGGCATTAAAAGGGGAAGTTTTTGGTGCCACTGCAGCAGCTTATTTGGCAAGAGATGGATGTACAGCTGATAGGGAAACTGATATGATTTTCAACAAAGCCGGCAAATTAATCATACTTAATGAATGTGACTAATGTGTTAAAGGAACGAGTGATTAAAATATTAGCACGTCTGAACTTCTCCTCCCTGGTTAATTTCTTCTCCTCCCTAGGGTTACCATCTTTCAAAGAAGTGGGGGCACAGAATTATGGAAACGGATTTTATGGAACAGAAATGCATCTTAAATGGCTTAAATTGGGGACAGTCTGTGCAGTTCTCAAGCGGCTGTCAGTCTTCACGTCTCGCTGCTCAAGCGAAGGACATGGGCTGAGGGGAGAGGCTGAAACTGTCACAACGACTGGAACTGGAGAGGAAAAAGCTAAGCATTTCCTGGGGTAATGGTGTGGAAATGGAAGACAGGCGTGGGCCCCTCCAGCAAGGAGGAACCAGCCTTTCTGTGTAGGCACAAGGTGAGATAAAAGTGGTTGAGGAGGGATGTTTCCTGAGGAGGGTCTTACCAGCTTTCTGCATTATACAGGAACAGAGGACAATCATTGACAAATCCTAGCAGAGTCTCCTTAGAGCACACTCCCCTCTCCCACCCTCTACATATCCCCATTGTCCAGATGGAAACATTAAAATTGTAGGGAGAAGAAAGCATCTCAAAATACAGCTCATGCTTGGGTACCAAATGGAACCAGGAGATTGCACTGCTTGTTGGTGTCCTACCACTTTTGGCAATGGCTCAAGCCTTCCTGTGGAATGTGTAAAGCTGAGCCCATGCTCAGAAGCCTCAGAGGATAGCAGGTTTTGTAGCTATATAAAGTGAACATGATGGGAAAGGACTCAGATCAGTGACTACCCACCTGGGTTAATAGCATCAACGATCTTTCTCTAAATAAGGACACAGGTGGTCAAATCTTTTTTGAAGAAAGGCAAATGTGTGTGTTAGTTTTCTGTTGCTGCTATAACAAAGTCTGTAGCTTAAAACAACACAAATGTATTATTTTACAGTTCTAAAATTGGTTTTTGGGCTGCATTTCTTTTGAAAGCTTCAGAAGACAATCTATTTCTTTGCCTTTCCCAGCTTTTAACAGTTGGTCCATCATTTCCAGCCCCCCTTCCTCTGTCTGTCTTCAAGCCCAGTAGGATAGCATTTCTCTCTTCTCTGACCCCTAGCTTCCCTCTTATAAGAATGCTGTGATTACACTGGGGCCTACCTAGACAATCCAGTATAATCTTCTTATCTCAAGATCCTTAATCAGATCTATAGTCTCTTTGTCAGGTGAAGTAACAGGTAATATATTCCCAGGTTTCAGGGATTAGGACTTGCATCTTTGTTGGTGGGGATGGGGGAGGATGTGGAGATATTAATCAACCACAGTTTATATGTGTGAATACTCACAATTTGTAAATGCTAGCAAATAATTCTGATGATTCCAGCATCATGTATGCCAGTCCAACAGGTCACCCTGTGGAACTGAGAGGTTAAAGAGTAGGTGTCCAGTCTATGACCTGTGTTTTAAATGAAGTACTCACTTATTAAAAGAAAGACTTTGTGTCAATCCTTAATTCATACAGATACTTTGCTAGTTTACAAAAATAACAACAAATATTTATTAAGTTCTTGTTTTATACCAAACACTAGGCATTTCACATGCGTTACTTTGAATTTTCAGAGCAATTTCATTTTATCCCTGTTTTGCAGATGAAGGATTTGAAGCTCAGCAGTGTTCAAAGTTATACAGTCAGTGTGGGTCACAGCTATACAGACCAGGTTGTTTGCATCTGGAGCCTTCAAAAATTTGTATTCAAGGAAAGAATAAACTGGTGCATGAATGTTAATAGGCAGTCCAGTTAAAAACCAACAACTACCAAGAGGAAGTCAGGTCAGACATCAAAGTTCCAAGTTCCAATATGCCTGCCTGCCACTCTTAGATGCTAGCCTCCTTCTTTTGCAAGACAACATTTGATTAGCCATATAACTACCCTTCTCTCTGCTGCAAAACTGGAACAGCCCCAGAACAAAAGTGTTCTTTTACTTATCAATGATGTGTCTTTGGGTAAGTCATTGTTCTTCTCCGAATTTCTTCTATTCATATAGAAAACAGAATTATTATTCTTATCAACACTTACATAACACTCACTGCGTACAAGACACAGTTCTGGGCATTTTATAATTATTAATCCACTAAATGCTTAAAATAACTCTGAGGTAGACAGTATTGTCCTCATTTTGCGGGATAAAGACTGAGGCACATACAGAGGTTATATAACTTGCCCTAGGAAGTAGCTGGTGAGTGACAGAACTGGGATTGGACCCAGAGAGTCTGGAGATAACAATTTGAACTCTGCTTACTCCATTGGGAAGTTGTGAGGGTCTCCAGCAGATTTATTCATTCATTCTTCTTCTACTCTTACTACACTCAGAGGACTGTTGTGAATTAAATGAGTAATTTCATGGAAAGTACTCAAATCATGGACTGCCTTTGTAGTTGCTCCGGAAGTGTCTGTTTTTGATCCTTCCCAGTTGTTGCTGGGGGTAAGCTCCATACCTGCTTTATGGCAAGCTCAGTAGTGAAGAGGCAGGCAGCTTCCAGCCTTGAGAGTACAACACAGCCCCAGTCGCTATCAAGACAGCTCAAGTCCTGGGCAAAGGAGAAAGTGGTCAGTGTGCTGTGAACCTTGAGAAAGGAACAGAAAGGCAGCAGGGATCAAAGGAATGAGGTATTGTTCCAGAGGAAGTGGCAGTTTCAAATAAAAACACCACCAGCAAATCCTCCCTGCTGTTTACTCTGAGCCAGGCCTCTTTGTAGGTAGTTTGCACATATTAGTAGCTTTTCTCCTCCTAGTAATTTACCAGGTAGACACCATCAATATTACCTCTATTTTATAGATGAGGAAACTGAAGCAGAGAGGTTAGAAAATTTGCCCAGGTCATGCAGTCCATGCACAGCACTGAGCAGGATTGAGAAACCTCAGTGGTTCACATTCCTGATTCACAATTTTGCCAAATCCATGCATTGCTCATATTAGGATATACTTAATATTTAAATTAGTTCATTCTTTTACAGAATGAATGAAGTCTTATCTCACTGTAGTATAAGAGGCAGAAAACCAGTATGAATTAAAAAGTAAATACCATGAAAATAAGTGATATTATTAAATTTTCTCTAGATTCAGTTGTCTGCTGAAAACTTCAAATTCAAGGCTTATTGTGTTAAAAGAGGGGATTAACAAATATAGAGATTATATTTGCTAATTATATTAGCACCAAACTCAGACTTTCTTATTGGTGTAAACAGGACTGAAAGAGAAGTAAAAAGAGGGTAACTCTCTCAACATGTGACAGGAAATGATTATGGGATCTATCCCTGCACCCCTGCATCCCCTAAAATTTCACTTGGGTAGTGGTGTTGATTAAGACCACAGATTTAGGAGACAAACTTGCTTCACTGTTTCCTGGCAATTCAGTTGTGAACAAAGGATCTCTCTGAGACTTACCTCATCAGTAAAATGTTCCCTCATTAGTAAAACGTTGGTAACAATAGCAGCTACTTTGCAGGAGCCTGATTACAAATGAAAGAATGCTGGAAAACAAAATCCAATATACAGTAGATACTTAATAAATGTGTGTGTGTGTGTATGTAACAGGGATAAAACACAGGGGTCTTAACCACTGATCCAACTCCCCAGCCTTTTTATATTTAGGTTTTTAATTTGTACTTTTATATGTATTTATTTAGGTCTTGCTGAGTTAGGGCCTAGCTAAGTTGCTGAGGCTGGTTTTGAACTAGTGACCCAACTGCCTCAGCTTCTCCAGCCACTGGCATGCGCCAGAGTTCCTGGCTAGGTCATTATTTTTAATCTTTGCACACAGGTCCCTAGCCTTTTGTTGTTTGGTTAAGACGATAAAAAAAATCATTACAGAAAATAAATAGAGGTTACAATATATTCTAGGTGATATTATATATATATATATATATATATATATATATATATATATATATATATATATATATATATATATATATAGTTGTTTTTTCCTTTTTGGGAAGAATCATCCTCATTTAAACTATAGTAATTTGTTCTTATGCCCAGGTCGCCCCAGATGAAATTTTTGCCCTAACTGATCACAAACACGCCCACGGGACGTTTCTCCGGACCTTAGTTTTATTTTGTCCTCTTATTTTAAGCAGCGACGGGAACGCAGACCACCAGGAAAACGTACTGATTGACAGCTGGCGTTAAGCCCCGCCTCCTGGCCGCTCCGCCCTCAGCGTGGGCTCGTGGCCCGCTCTCGACGCAGCGCTTCCAGGTTCGTCCCGCCCCTCAGGACTCCGCTTCGGCCGGCGTGCTGACGTCACAGATCCGTCGCCTCTTGCGCCTGCGTCGCGGGCGGAAGGTCGTCCCTGTGACCGGCTCGGCGGTTCTATCGTTTGTCGCCATGTTGTCGGTCGCCGCCCGCTCAGGCCCGTTTGCACCTGTCCTGTCGGCCACGTCCCGCGGGGTGGCGGGTGCGCTGCGGCCTCTGGTGCAGGCCGCAGTGCCCGCCACCCCGGAGCCGCCTGTGCAGGCCGTGGGCCGGCCTTTGGTCGCCTGCGTGGGCCTCAATGGTGAGCCGGGTTGAAGGGTCTCTCCTTTCTCGCTCCCTCTGGCCCTAGTCCCGGGGAGCAGCCGAGGAGGGCGGGGGCGTGTAGAAATGTAGAGCGGAGTCCCGTTCGGGAGGATCGGGTTTCCGGTAGGGGCGACCTTGGGCAGAACAGGACGCTGCACCTCTCCGGGCCTCCGTTGTCCTCGCGTGGGCACGCCGCTAAGGTCTTCAGTGATGCTGCAGCCCTATGTGGGAGTCCTTCCCTTGGCTCGGATCTGGGCCCTCTTGGGCAGACTAATCTTTAACTTGTTGGTTAAGTTCCCAACTCCGGCGTCCTCCTACTTCCAACAAAGTCTGACAGAAGATATTGTTGCTTACAGGTAGTTTGACCTTGGGCAAATTTCTAAATGTTTTCTTCTCCTATGAAATGGATTCATGCTTCTACCAGTTTCATTAAGGATGTCGTGGGGGCATACATGATCTGTAGAAAGCCACTGGACATCAACAACACCCCTTATTAATCCCCCCCTCCAAAAAAACCCCACCTCAATTTAAATAACAACACAGCTCCAAGATCAGTTTCAGTATGAGTGCCAGCAATCTTTTTCAGACACTTGTCTAAAGGTTTTCACAACATAATTTAATCCTCAAGAAGAAAAGTTTGAGGTTGATAGTATTCCCGTTTTACAGATGAGAAAACAGACCACAGGAAGTAAAATGACCTGCACGAGGATGGACATTGTGCATGAGATAGAGCATGGAATTGACAAGACTGATTGTGTTAGCCATAAGCTCTTTCAAGGAATGTTTTTGGTATCCTCTGTCAACAGATCTCAGTTTAGTCTTCTGTTCCCTGTCTTTCATTTAACTAATGCCCTGTATTGGAGATTGTGAAATGGCACCATTTTAGGTAGTGCGACTGCATTGCTTAGTATTAAAAAACTGGGAAAACTCCTGATATTTCTTGAAGTATTATAGGGTGGCAACACTGGATTCTATAGTTTCTACACAGGTAAAGTCTAGTGTGCTGTGTATTGGCTGCTCCCATAGTTGTCACTCCACTTCTCACTAGGCTTGCTTGTTCTATTGTGTTCCTTGCTTGGTCCCATTGACAGTTGAGTTAGTGGTCTTTGTGCTACATGATAATCAAGTTGCCTCAAGGGGAAACTTACTCTGCATTAGTCACTCTATTCTTTTTACTTTTTTATTTTCTTTCTTGAGAGGAGGTCTCACTATGTTTGCCCAGGCAGGCCCAGCTAACTTTTTGGTTCAAGTGATTCCCCATCTTAAGCCTCCCAAGTAGCACTGCTTCTCTATATTTCTAACGATCCTTCCACTCACTTTTCCTTCTGTGCAAATCTTACCCATCCTTTCAATCACAATTTTGGATCAGGTCAATAAAATTTTATATTTGCTCATTCCTTTATGTCTTTATAGCATATAACATTTCCCATTCTGTATTGTATTCATTGGTTATTCCTCTGACCTTGAACTTAAAGGAATAGAGTGTCTACATTTTTCTTTCCTACAGTCTGAGATTTCGTAAAGTTGACGCAAAGTATTTGTGAGTGAATGTTGAGGAGCACTAGTGGTTTTGGAGAAAATGTCAGGGTAGGAATAAAGTACCCTGGCCCATTCCAAGTTTATTTTTGTTCTTATACATTACCTCGTGTACCTGTTTTTAATGTAGAGATATGAACTTGGTTCCTTTATCTTTTAGGTATGAAACATTCTTTACTGTCCTTGGCTTTGCCAGGGGAAAGTAATTCATGCTTGATTCCAAATTGCTAGTCTGTACTGTCAGGTTAGCCATAGGTAAAATACTACATGACTGTAAGTCACTTTGGTTCCGAGAAGTCATATGTATGAATCTCAAGTTGTTGGAGGTGATAAATAAGAAGAGAAAACTTCAATAGCAAAGGTGAAAAGCATCTTTGTCAAATGGCTAAAGAGTTTCTTCTAGAATTAATTTTTAAACTAGGCAAAAAAATGTAGAATCATAAGAAGAAAAAAATCTCTTCTATCATCATGCCTTCAGCTTGTAGCTTAAGTTCACCTTAAAGTGTCCTATTTAGATAGTTTCTAGAAAGACAGTGACAGTATGGGAGGAATTGATCAGGAGCAGATCTTTGAATTGGGGAGGAAGTTTACACCAGGGTAGCATCTCTTGCATATCAGAGGTCACTTTAAAACTAAAACTTAAAAAATATTTATTAAAATGCCTTCGATTTTTTTCTGTTTCTAGGTGATATTTCCATAAATATCTGACCTTGTTTTAGGTTAGAACTAATTGCAACATCTTTGCTTCTCAAAGTCAGACATTATACAACCCTTGTAAATTATTGAGAGAATGATTTTGACAACCTGGCAGTTTAATTTCCTAAAGAGTTCTTGACCATGTAACCCAGTAAAGTACGTGCTAGGTAGAGAGAGGTAGACAACTGAATTTCTTTTGCCATCAAGTCTTTGAGAATGAGAATGACAGTCATTCTGTGTAGTGTCCTTAGACATTACCTTGTATACTCTTTAAAAGAGTTAACAGTTGTGGATACTGTTTTTAATGTAGAGGTATGACCTTGGTTTCTTTATCTTAGATATGAAACATTCTTTACTGTCCCAGGTTTTGCCAGGGAAAAACAATTCATGCTTGATTCCAAATTGCCAGTCTGTACTGTCAGGTTAGCAGTAGGTAAAATAGTACATTGTAAGTCACTTTGATGCCATGAAGTCATAAATATGAATCTCAGGTAGTCACCATCTATGTCCTGATCCCCACAAAAAAATGGGCTAGTCAGAAAAGTATATAGAGTGATTTTGATAGGTTTCATTATTTATGTTTGTGTCTTCTATAAAGTTATTGATCTTGACAATCACATGAAATGCAGTTGAAATATTTTGTATTGTAATGTTTGACTGCTCAAAGAAATAGGATGAAAGCTTATGAATGAAATTGCAGTTTATTTTAATGAAATGTTTTTATAAGTACAGCTTTGAAATAACACGTTTTCTAAAAGTTAACAATTTTTAGTGCCTCTTTTTCTAAAAAGGAAACCTAATGGCAGGTTTCCTAAAACAGATATGGTTTACAAAGAGATTTGCTTTCCTGAAACATTTAAAAGTGATACCAGTAAATTCATTTTTTTGTCAGATGTTTACACATGGTATGGGAGAGAGGACATGACTTTAAAAATCTTTTTTATTATACAAATTACTTGTTCCCAAAATACTATGAAGGCAGTAATTATTTGTTTATTTACATTCATTTGACACACACAGTAGCCTACAGTAGAAGCATCTCACTAAAGGGGCCCACGGCAGTAAAAACGGGTAATGCCCTTTTACAGAAGATATAAAACTTCACTGAAGAGGGAAATATAGGAAAAATTATCTCTTCTTTTGCTAAATGGAAATAGTTCTTTTGCAGGTTTTATTTTAAGAGCTGCCTGTTATGATAAGGATGTCCTTTTCTGCACATTAGAAGCTTTACTTGAAGATAGTATTAGTTTATACCCTCAAGTCTAAAATAGAAATTCATAAATTTTCTGTAACTGAAGGGATACCAGCAGAACACAGAATATATATTGTTTTGTACTTACTTTTGAAGACTAGACTTTTGCCTTAATGAGATGAGCAGATCAGTTTAACCAGGTAGGTTAGATAAGTTTTGGGGTCTTTTCTAATCCAGAGAATATGAGAAGTATTTAGTTTGGTTGTATCAAATGTCTTAGCAATTGGACTTTTGGAAACTTTGAAGTATAGCTGTTAATTGTGCTATTTAACTTTCTGAACTTAATGCTATGATATATTAATCCTGAATGAGCCATGTTCCAACAACCTTCAAGGAGAAATTCAATTTACAAATATTATCTTGTGGTTCATACCAATATAATAGCTTGTAGTCAACTTCATTTCATTTCTAATATTTTATATGCTAGTACTGCCATTTCAACTACTCACCAGTCTCAACTGGTGAGTTTTGAGAATTGAAATTTTTGCCTATGAGTCTAAGGTCTGTTTCCTGATGTATACCCCTTTCAGTAATTAGTTACTTATCTAATTGTTTTTAACTTTCTGTTTGCCTTGTAGTACCTGCTTCTGTTCGTTATTCCCACACGGATGTCAAAGTGCCTGATTTCTCTGACTATCGTCGCTCCGAAGTATTAGATAGCACAAAGTCTTCAAAAGAGAGCAGCGAGGCTAGAAAAGGTTTCTCCTATTTGGTGACTGCAACAGCTACTGTGGGTGTTGCATATGCCGCCAAGAATGTTGTCTCCCAGTTTGTTTCCAGCATGAGTGCTTCTGCTGATGTATTGGCCATGTCGAAAATTGAAATCAAGTTGTCTGATATTCCAGAAGGCAAGAACATGGCTTTCAAATGGAGAGGCAAACCCCTGTTTGTGCGCCACAGAACCCAGAAGGAGATTGACCAGGAAGCTGCTGTTGAAGTGTCCCAGTTGCGAGACCCACAGCATGATTTGGATCGAGTAAAGAAACCTGAATGGGTTATCCTGATAGGTGTTTGTACTCATCTTGGTTGTGTACCCATTGCAAATGCAGGAGATTTTGGTGGTTATTACTGCCCTTGCCATGGGTCACACTATGATGCATCAGGCAGGATCAGGAAGGGGCCTGCGCCTCTCAACCTTGAAGTTCCCTCATATGAGTTCACCAGTGATGATCTAGTGATTGTTGGTTAGAGACTTTGAACTAAAGTTCTAGGCTGCTTTCATTTTTCGTGTCACCTCAGAAGAGTTGAGGGCAAGCCTCCTGTACTTCTAAGTTGGTTGATTTGAAATATTTAAGGATTGTTAATAATGTACTTGCAAATGTGAAGTAAATTGAATCTAATGTTGAGTACTTACAAGCATTCACTTAATAAAGCTACTGTTAAACATTGTTAAGCTCGGTCACAGACTTGAAAGGTGCAATGTCTTTCATAGCTAATTCTAATTAAAAATTACAGACTGGTGTACAATAATATATTTGTGAAATCTATAATTGACTTTGTCTTTTACTTGTATAAATATTTATTTCCTCCTTTGTGTCAGGGACGCAGATTCTACAGTGCTCATTGTGAGGATGAGTTGAAACAAGCTGGTCATCTCTAGTCTTTTCCTTTTTTCACAGAATTCAGTAAGAGTGCTTCTGACTGTTTTCTCCCCTGCTGTATAATCTGTGTGGTAATTTTGAATGTAATTTATGAGAAAGAGTTCTGAATGTTAGCAGCTCTGAGGGTTTTTCCCCCAGGTCTGGCTAGCTGGTTTTATGCCTGCGTGACAAGCCAAATTTTTTTTTTTTGTCCCTTGTGGCAATAAGTAATTAGAAGTATTAATTTTAAGGAACAGTGAAGGAATATTATTTGAGAGAAACTTTCCAAATCATAGTATTTCTGTTATTTCTTCCATCTGGCATTATTGATGTTTATGTCACTGATGCTCTTGTATCTACCCTATCATGAGGCAGAAAGGAAGCATCTGACACTTGGTACTATCTTTGTGTGAAAATAACTGCTGGTTTTGTTTGTGTAGTTATTATATTCGAAGTGTTCTTTCAAGTTGGATTTGAAGTCACTCAGCATGTGACTGAGGAAGTGGGGGTGGGCACACACAGAGCCTATCAGAATTAACATCCTATTTCCTTCTGCCTCTTACCTAAATACATGATTGGGTATAAATTGAAATTAACACAGGTGCAGGAATAAGAGTGGGCTTTGCCCTTTTTGATAAGTTTATCTTGCCTTGGCTGTTTGGAGGTGGGTAAGTAATTATCAATTAGGTCTACCTTGGAATACATGTGCACTTGTAAAATAACAAACTAGATGTTAGTTTGTTATTTTACAAAGGAGCTGTTCATCTACCGGTCCAGTCTTTGCAGCTAAGTGTTGTATCAAAAAAGAAAATACCAACATTTCTATTATTCTAGAAGTAAAGTTAGTAAGTGTGGTAATTGGTGGGGGCACCTAAAAGTGATATTTTATATTCTAGTCTCCAGATAATGGAGAATGTTCCTGGTATTGGTGTTGTAAGACAGTAAGAATGTGAAATGTTCAGTTATTGAAGAAGATGGGTCCACCTGCTAAAATAATTGTTGCACAAGTGTTAACAGCACCCCTTTCTTATAGAGTAATACTGATACCTCAATATTATTACACCTCATTCCCTGAAGTGATATCTTGAAATAGCGCATATTTTCATTTTGAAGTGTCAAAACACTACTATGTTAGAATCTGTATGGCAATGAAAAACAAAAATAGAAAATTTTGCAGCCCCCAGATGTCGCATTATACAGGTACCTTGAGCTGGAATTGCTATATTTGGTCTTCAATGATATTTTGAGTTTCATGGTAAGATACTGTTAAATCCCAGTAGCATTTACTTTTGAAAGAAGGCTTTGTTCCACAAATGGTAGGATGATTGAACTCACTTCATAGTACTTTGCTAAGTGGGTAGAACAGACATGTTAGCTTTTTCACTTATTTTACAGAAAGAAAATCCTAGACACTAGTAGAAAATGACCTAAAATAGATGTCTGACCAGTTGGTATCCTGACAAGAGCTTTTACTGGGAATAATTCTTGGAAAAATTTTAGGACCCAAGCTATTTTAGTGCGCTTTAAAAGAATGTTACAGGAAATTTGGCCTTTTGGGAAATTTGCATTGTTAGAGATAACATCATAGTTACTTCGGTCTTTCTGAACATACCTTTGTAAAATCTTTCAGTTAATCTGAGTATATAGGAAAAGGGCGTTTGCCTTTACTTGGTATTTATGGCTTAAGACCACAATGCTTTTGTACACTGATTTTCCTTAACTGTGGGAACATTAATTACCTGAATGTCAATATCATTCTTCATTCTCCCAGTACTGTCTCATTTCTATATTTTTGTCATTTAAATTTTATGGCTTTTTTCCTTATTTTCCAGAATATCCTGGGCCCACTGCATTACACCCAGAGAAACTTATTTTATTATTACCTATTTGTTAATGACTCCTCTTTTTACTTTCCTGAAGTTCATATTCATGTTCAGCCCCCTACTGAATGGCTGCCTAGTAACCTACTTGGCAGGCCAAGACCTGCTAGTCTTTTTTGCCTCCTTTCCTAGTACCTCTTCTCCCTGGGCCTAAATAAATTCTCAAATCCTGTTGATTTTAATCTTATTATAACAGGCCCATTATCTTTTCTGTTGTGTGTAGCATTCTAATATCAGCTTTTTAAGACTGATTCCTAGTCATTAGGATATGTATACTTTATGTATATGATCTCTTCTAATTCTCCAAAAAAAATCCCATCAATGAAACATTGCTATTCCTGTTTTATAGATGGAGAGTGAGACCCAGGGAAATCTCTGTCTACAATTGACTGGTATATTGCTGAAGCTAAACTTAACCCACAGAATCTTGAGTTTAGAGCCTATAGGCCTGATTGCCACCTTATACTACCAGCGTTTATAATTGTCAGTTCTTGCTTGGTCTGCTATAAGATTGAAACTGCTATTTCTTTTCTCTAATCTTGTCCCCTTACAATCTACCCTCTACAAAGCTGCCTAGAAGTACAGAGGTTTAAGAGTGGGGGATTGGTTCTAGTGTTCAGTCCTGGCTCTGCCATTTCTTAGATGTGTGTCCTGACATAAATTACTTAATCCCTGCTTCTGTTCCCACATTTATAAAACAATCCCCTCATAGTAGTTTTAGGAATTAATACATTAACTATGTCAAGGCATGACATTATTAAAACAACAACATAGAGCCTCTGTCCCCAATAGGATGTATTCATTTGGTTACTTACACTACACTAAGAACTCACTTTCCTTGTTTGTTTGCTTACCACCATGCTGAGAGTGCTGCATAGTGTGGCAAATACTCAATTATTAGGTCCTGGATGGAAAAAAGTGAATTTGTAAGTGAATCTGTTCAAAAGGGACATTTTCCAGGGACTATTTTGTAAATACCAGTTATATTTTTAAAGTATGTACTATTTGTGTATATTATTTTTCAGAACTTTATGCTAGAGGAGAGGGTTATTTTATTATGGATTGAAATCTGGATTTTGTTTTCAGAAGGGGAAAATGAATTCAAGATCTTAAACATTATTTTACTTCAGTTATTTGTTAGCTTCATAATGAAGGTTCTGCCTATGTAAGATTTCAATAGAGGCCTAATTTTTTTTCCCTAATACTTTATGCTACGGGCAGCATTTCATTACTTTTGTCATTTCATCTCATTTATTTTTCATCCTAAGATTTAGGAGGGGAATGTTTTAATTAGATGAAAAAGTATCTTGGAACAGGTGAATTGATCAGCATTCTCTGAAATAGGAAGGATTGAGGATTATTTTCTTTTTCAGTACTCAGCACTACTTACTGTAGTTTAAGAATGTTCTCAGCACAGTACTGACAGGAATATAAGGTTAAGATGGTTTCTAGTTCAGATACTTAAAAGGAGACCTAAATACACCACAAAGGAAAGACTATTTAAGTACTTGCTTCTGTGAATGCTTATAAAATAGATTGTTATAGATCGGAAATCTCTGGTCTGCAGCACAATATAAAATTAATTTTGTGAAGTGCTTCCACAGTATCTGTAATAACTGCTATAATGATCAACATAAGACTGGTCTATCAGTGAGCTGAAAATCCCAAATTTAATAAACTCTATATTTTTTACCATTATTATCCTATACTTGAGTTAATTTGAGTGCAAAAGCTTGCAGTCATTGGGCTTTTGAATCCTTATCTGATTAGAATATTTGTAAAGAAATGAAAACATGTAAGTAATAGGGTTTTTTTTATACATGTTTAAAAGTGCAAACAAAAGCTTTGTTTCTTAATTGAAGTGGGGAAAAAGGACACAATTGTCCTTTATAGGGAGACAGTATTTGAAATTGCCATTTTCTTTTTTAAAGAGAATTA